GGGTGCTGTACTTCGTATTTTGAGATATCTTCGAGGCACTCAGTTTCAGTGTCTCTTGCTCCCATCGACGTCTTCTTTTGAGCTGCGTGCCTATAGTGATGCTGATTRGGATAGCGATATTTATGATCGCAAATCCACCACTGGTTTCTGCATTTTTCTTGGAGATTCTCTTATCTCGTGGAAAAGTAAGAAACAGGATGTTTGCTCTCGATCCTCCACTGAGGCTGAGTATCGTGCTATGGTGGTGACTACTTGTGAGATTGTTTGGTTACGTTGGCTTCTTGAAGACATGGGTGTTGTTATTTCTCAGCCTACTCCTCTACATTGGGATAATAAGAGTGCGCTACAGATTGCAAAGAACTCTGTTTTTCATGAACGGACAAAGCATATCGAGATTGATTGTCACTTTACTCGACATCATTATCAGCTCGGAACTATCTCGCTACCTTTTGTTCCTTCCACTTTGCAGATTGCCGACATGTTCACCAAGGCTCAGTCAGCCTCCAGATTTCGTTTCTTGTTAGACAAACCCTCAATGCTTATTGTTGTCGCATTGTGAGTTTGAGGGGGGATGTTAGCATAAATGGGTTTTAGCCTATTGGGCTTATTCTCTTGTTGGGCTTAGAAACCCTAGTTTCCTAGTCTATATATAGGTTTTATGTTTCTCTTGTAAACACACACATATATCATAATAAAACCCTAGCTACCAAGCTATCGGTTACTTTCTCATATTTCTACAAAGACATCCAGTGATAGCAGAATGACTAGACACAAAGTACCGTGTACACCCAGCATTATCCGGTCAATCCCAATCTTCTTGAAGGTCAAGGTTCAAGGCCCATCAAAAGTGCGGAGAGTGTGTGAGTTTTGTAGTAAATAAATATTATATACTTCAAGAAAAAAGTACCGTGTAGAGCCAATATGTGTCAGATTTTGACTTAGGAAAGGTCGTAGTCCACTTTCCACCAGGAGCACAAACAGGGTCCTCCCACTTGGGCTCAATTCTGTTTTTGAAACAATGGAGGGCTGCTCCTGCCGTCAGCCTGCTCGGTCGATGTAAATTGTTGTAAAGGCTGCATTCAAAGAAAGCATCATATTGTTGTTTCTTTGTCTTTTAAGTGGTATTTTGTCATACTAGAATCATGGTACTATGACCAAGTGATTCAGATTCATTTTGTAACTGTTGAGATTTATATGTTATGTGTGTTTTTCATCAGGAGTTTGTGTTTCTGCCACCTACGAATGTATGACAGATTAGAATGGGAACTTGTTTGGGTGGAATAGACCAGAGACCTTGGGGATATACTTCTTAATGTCTTCTATTGGTTTCACCAATTAACATTTTCTTTCAACTAGCAATTGATGCTAGGCTTCTTGTATGTCCAGTTGGCACTATCTTTAATCATAGTATTCTGGCTATTTCCTTTAAATTATCACATTTTAATATGTACTGTGTTATTATGCTGTGGAACACACAAAGTGTTGAACACTGTTGTCTCTGATGAGATAGTAGGAAGACTAAAAAGATACTTACGGTAAACAATTGAACAGGTAGATAGCAATTGATATATAAGATGGATTTAAAGCTTAAAGTGGACGATTTATTCACATGCCAAAATCATATGGTACATGTTAATATTATCAAATACTATAAACAAATGATACAACAAAGTAGTAAGCCAACTCTTTTCTTTTTAGATTCTGGTGAGGGAGTCAAATTTTCAGTCTCAACCTTCCAAACCTAGAAAATCACTAGGAACATCAAGATCTTTTATAACAAAATAATTACAGAATAATGTCAAGGAACACATATGCATAATAAGATACGAAAGAAAACCCTCACTTGAGAAGGAGGCCGTTTACCAAATACTTATACTTACTGGGTATCACTTACCTTACCGGATGCATGGTAACTTCTTATCGGTAAGACACATAGCAAGGACCAAGAATCTTATCCTGTAAATTAGAGGGAAGACTCCTACCAGGGAAGCACTTACTGGGTGAAAGACTCTTACCAACAATCTATTTTGATGGCTGATAATGTGATCCGATAACATAAGCAAGGGTAGCGACTCTAGCAGGGTAAGTGCTTACCAGATAAGTGTTTGTTAAACTAATTTTTTTCACATCAAACTACTTTTGGAAAGATGATTTCATGGCATTCTCATAATCTCTTAGAACAATAGAAGATATATCGATAATTGGCGGTATTTATGCATGTATCTGTACTCGAAGGATACATAGATGCATGTAATGATGAATTGACTAGAAACCTACGCAGACGTAGAACTACAATTCGAATATCCAGTATCGAATTAAGATTAAATTAAAAACAAAATTCAAAAGGATGTTCATTCTTCCTCCATTTCCAAATATATTTTCCAGTTTTTCATCAAATTCTGGGGATATTGACCGCCCAACGGACCATAATTCATCAAGTTTCAACTGATTTCACTAATTGATTTCATTTACATTCAAACCTTTGATGAAAGTACTATAATAATCGTAAGATACAAGTAACTACGAGAAAATCGACTGATGAAACCGCAATTCAAGCACCGGATCCGATTGAAACTAACATAATGCAGAAAATATAATTTAGAAATAATCTCGAGAAACATAAGAAAAATGAATTAATAAGACCTCCAGAATTCTTCAACGATGGAGAAAGTGTAGATAAGACGGATCCAACTACCCCAAGTGACCTGTTTAGACTTAGCAGATGGATTATCGAACCAGAACGTCCATGAATGCTCAAGCGGATGCCGTTTTATATCCTTAGCTGGTCTCGGAAACGTATCTCCGTCACCGACATTCTCTCCGCCTTCTTTCGGCCGTTCATCGTCTTCTCCGTCCGATCGAACACCTTTGTGTTTATTGGCATCCTTTGTCCTTTGATCCTCAGACTTCTCTACCTCCTCCACCATAACTACACCTTTCTCTCTCTATAATCCGATTTCTCACTCTATTCGGAGATAATAACAGAATCTGTTCATAGATTTAAATTCTGTTAGCTTCTTGAGCTGAGCCAGGGCCCATTGGGCCAGCTAAACCCACTGAAAGCCCAATAAAGAGTTTGGAGATGGCCAAGCATTGTCATGCCTGGGTGGAAATGACCAAATGGGTCCGGCCCGATTTAGGACTGATTTGGGACTCGTTATAGTTTTCGTCAAAAAAGAAGGTCTGGCCTAGGACCAGCCCGATTTTTTAAAAATATTACCAATAATTAACGGTCATATGACCGTTTTTTCCACATTTTTGACCGTTTTTGTCTCATTATGTTTTATTCACTATAAATAAGTCATATGGTGTATAGAGAAATATGTCAACTCACAAACGTTCACAATTCTTGTTATAATTCATGATTCAGTCTTGTATTCTCGTAAAAAACGTATTTTTAAATGTATTTAATTGACTCAAGTACTATTTTCAAGTGTATTGGAATAAAACTTTTGTATTCTTTAAAATAAACTTCAAAAAAACATGTTAAAAAATCGAACTTTTTTTTAAAATACATAGGACCGGTTTGGGCCCGGCATGGGACCGGGACCGGTTCTCATAACCGGTTACAAAGTATCTTAACCGGGCCTTGGATTTTTGGTCGGGACCGGAACCGGTTACGGGAAAAGTGTTTGGGGCCGGAACCGATTTGGGTTCGACCCGGTCCAGGACCGATTTTTGGCCATCTCTATACCCGATGTAGGATCAGGAGCGGTAAGGCATTAGTCCCTTCGGTGTTTGCTATGCATTCAATTAGGTTATTTTTAAAGTGGAAAGAGAATTCACAAAGGGTGTCAATCCATCCTTACGGCGGAACGAATACATGACGCAAACTCAACTTAATAGACATGACACAATTTGGTCATTTGATGCAAAGCTGAACCGGGAAATGACAACACAGCGTGTCATCCAATAAAGGTTGCCGTTTGGCCTATTTGACAACTCTCAGTTGACAAAGTTAATCTAAAAAACACTACAATCTCGCTACAAACGTAGAACTCGTAGACGAGATGTTATAAAAACGTGAAAATGGTGCAATTAAAAACGCAACAAATGTTTCGTAATTTGATATCTTGTGTAGTTTTGACATGTTACATGGAAAGCGCGCCACACGACTCGCCACATTCTTTTATATATATATAACACGTGCCATTATAAAGCCTAATTTTCACCCATATATGTAATATAGATATTTATATTGACGTTATTTATGATATACTTAATAAATTAATTAAAGTAATAACTCATTAATAAAAATATATTTTTAACTTCAGATAACACTGTAACATATAAATATCCATCTCTCTCCTAACATTTCACAAATAGAGCTGAGAATATTCTTGATTTTTTTTTTGTTTTTTTTAGCATGCTCGTCATAACTCAAAATTTCTCTCAAAATCTTATGAAACTGAAGATAACTAGTATTAATCGTATATCTTACATTAACCTCTTGTTTGGATAACATCAAATCGACAAGCTAAATTTGAGATCTTCAAACCCCTTGTACATTAGAAGTATGCCTACGGCTCCTGGTGCCATTTGATTGACACAGAATAGTTGAAAACGCACTGGATTGACATGGCTTACCTAAAGCCAGTGAGATGTTGTTTCAGTTATGATGGTACAGCGACGGGGAAATTATGTGAAGACGGAAAATTGAATACGATTGTTAAACGAGCTGGGTTTTTATGGTACAAAACCAACACTATTTCTGGTTAGACCGTCTTTAAAAATTTGTAAATATTTTATTGTAAGTTAATATGTATAATTTTTTTATTAAAAATAATGAACTTATAAAGTATATTGTATTTCAATGTGTTTAGTAGTTTATTATAATTAATTTTATCATATTCAAATATGAATTTTAAAGAATATATGTAAATACAAGGGAAAATTGCACCAAAATGGAACCAACTTTCATCTAATTCCTATTTTGGGAAACCAACTTTCATCTAATTCCTATTTTGGGAAACCAACTTTCAAAATCGTCATTTTGGGGAACCAACTTGCACCTTATTCCTATTTTGTGGAACCAACTTGTACATGATTCTTATTTTGGGGAACCAACTTTCAAAATCGTCATTTTGCGGAACCAACTTGCACCTGATTCCTATTTTGGGGAACCAACTTGCAAAATAATTATAGAAAAATAACAAAAAATCGTTTTTTTTTTCCAAAAATTAATGCAATAAAATCTATTTTTCATTTCAAATCTCGTTTTTTTTAATTCAGATATCAAATTGAACATTTGCAAAAAAAAATCCAACTTATCAAATAAAAATTGTTTTTTACTAATGCAAAAAAAAATCAATTTAATAGAAAAAAATTAATTGATGCAATAAAAAATAAATATTAAATATCACATTCAAGATTTTTATATCTGACCAATTGCATCAATTAATTTTTTTTATTTTTTTTGCATTAATAAAAAATAATTTTTATTGTGATAATTTGGATTTTTTTTAAAAATGTTCAATTTGATATCTGAATTAAAAAAACGAGATTTGAAATGAAAAATATATTTTATTGCATTAATTTTTGGAAAAAAAACGAATTTTAGTTATTTTTCTATAATTAATTTGCAAGTTGGTTCCCCAAAATAGGAATCAGGTGCAAGTTGGTTCCCTAAAATGACGATTTTGAAAGTTGGTTCCCCAAAATAGGAATCAAGTGCAAGTTGGTTCCCCAAAATGACGATTTTGAAAGTTGGTTCCCCAAAATAGGAATCAAGTGCAAGTTGGTTCCCCAAAATGACAATTTTGAAAGTTGGTTCCCCAAAATAGGAATTAGATGAAAGTTGGTTCCATTTTGATGTAATTTTCCCTAAATACAATAATAAGTTCTATTTTAAATTTTATAAGATTTTTACATTATATTTGAAACAATGTTTATTTCAATTTAAATTTTCAATAGTTAACGTTTAATTACTAATTAATAATAACAAAATTTAACAAATACACAAGGTTGTAAAAGAAATACACCCTATATATATATATATATATATATATATATATATATTTATATCAATTTAAATAATGCTAACAATAAACACAATCATTTTTCAATGTTTCTGATGTAGGATGGGAATGAGACATGCTCTGTTGGGGAACTTGGTATATCCGGTCTTATTGGGGCTAATATTTCCTAAAAACCGGGGACTGTGAAGATATGGATCCCAAAAGTTTAAAAAATCGAAGACAGAGACTAGGTCAACAGGTAACGTGATTCCCAACCGTCCATCTCCATTTATTTAATATATTTATTATTTGTAAAGAATTAGATTTAGGAGTCATTTACTAAACATTTGTGTTAGAAAGCGTTTACCCGTTCAATTATCTTATCAAATGAGCATAATATCGACTAAGAATCTTACCCGATAAGAGGGGAGATAAAGATCAAGAATCTTATCCGGTAAGTGAAGGTGATGACTCTTACTCGGTAAGCACTTACCAGGTTATAAAACACTTGCAGTTAATCCATTTTTTATGGTCGAGAATGTTGTCCCAAAAAGTAAATGAGAGTGATGACTCTTGTTGGTAAGCGTTTGGTAAACAACCCCTTAGTGTCTTATAAATTTAGAAATAGTATTTTTGACATTTTTCTTTTTTATTTTGATTTTGCCGAATCACTGTTGATATACCACTTTGAATCACATGATTTTGATTATAATTTTTCTTTTCTTTTTAATTTAATGATTTTGATTATTGGTAATGTTGATTCGGTTTTGTAATTCAAATATTTGTAAACTACGGTTGACACTTGACAACACATATTTTATTTGCAAATTTGAATTGGAAAAAAGATCTCCGATTTCCCGTTGTGGATAGAAATGGGGATGCGATCATAAGTTAATAAATATTTTTACAAAAAACATAAATTGTTTTAAATAAGCAAATCCCGAACACCCCCTTAATTCTAAAAAAAAAATACCACTGACTTTTATGACTTTTCATTGAAGAAAGTTTAATTTCAAAAATCACATTAAAGGGCAAAAATGTCATCTTAACTTTAATATAACAGTAATTACATCAAAATGGAAATTAGGTAACCTATAATTTGACATATCAAGGACCTCATTGCTATTTCCAATAACCTCAGGGGGTATAAATGAAAATTTATCTTCTTCAAGTAGCCGGCAAAATTATTCCCGCCATTTTCCCTCTAAATTGGGGGGGATTAAGTGTTCGTCCCTTCCGGTACCAATTTAGGGTTTATACCAACAGTGATCATCGACTGTTGCTTTCCGTGCGAGAAGGAAAATGGGGATACAGGGATTGTTACCTCTATTGAAGTCGATTATGGTTCCGATTCATATGAAGGATCTGGAGGGCTGTTCAGTCGCCGTGGATACCTATTCTTGGCTTCATAAAGGAGCTCTTTCTTGCAGCAAAGAGCTCTGCAACCTTCTACCTACTTCCAAGTACACTTGTGTTCTTTTATTGATCTCAAATTACATTTCGTATAATGGGTTTAATTTATTTTGTTTGATGTTTGGCTTTTCAGTATGTTATATCGTATTGTAATGGGATTACAAGGGTTTTTGCAAGCAGTTTTTCTTAGAAGTTCCAGTTTGGCATTGGATTTCCGATTTGTTATTGCTTTACAAAATGATGCTTTGTGTTTTTACTGCCCTGAGGTAACTTGTTAAGGTTTTTTAGTGTTTTTTTTGCATATGCAAATGGCGATGATCGAATTTGAAAATCAAAATATTGTTTTACTCTTTTACATTTTTTGCAAAAATCTGTGTATGTCTGTCTTTTATGATGATAATTGATAAGTTTCTGTGTATGGTTTTCAATTTGTTATAATAGGCTTTTCAATCAATGATGTTGGTTTAGCCTTTGAGCCAACTTTTAATCAAATATCAATTGGCAATTGCAAGCGCTTCTTACTAGTGTTGTATTTTTTGATGAATGTTGAAATTAAGCTACAATCCTGTATAGGTTAAGCCTAGATTGTCTCAAAACCAAAATTTCATTCATTATTGTGTGTTTTATACATTTTGTCATGATGGGTCTTATTTATTTTGGTGGAGGGTTTTACTACAATCTTTCTAGAAAGAATTGTTCTTATGAATGTCAATTTGGGATTTGATTGCAATTGCATCACAAATATCAATTGGCAATTGCAAGTGCTTCCTCTCAGTGTTGTATTTCTATGGATAGTTGAAATTAAGCTACAATTCTTATAGTTTACAGCCTAAATTGTCTCAAAAGCAAAATTTCATGCATTATTGTGTGTGATACATTTTGTCATGATGGGTCTTATTTATTTTGGTGGAGGTTTTTACTACAGCTTCTAAAAAGCATTGCTCTTAAGAATGTCAATTTGACTTTTGATTGCAATTGCATCTCATATTATGTGATATAAGAAATAATCTAATCGAAATCATCTTACTCAACAATGTTTGGATAAAAAACATGGAAAGAAGACTTGTTTAATGTATTTTCTGTTATTTATTCATGTAATGTCTTTAATCTCACAGGCATGTCGATTATTGTATGCACCGAGTGAATTTGCTGCGGCATTATGGTATTAAACCTGTTTTGGTCTTCGATGGAGGTCATTTACCAATGAAGAATGAGCAGGAGATAAAGCGTGCAAGGTACTACTTTATACCGCACATTATCTGCACCTATCATATAATTTTGTTGGTCTGATGAATAATGTGTATGGATTTCATCATCAATTTAACATCTACATTTTTATTTTGTATTAGCTGTCTATCAATATATATATTTCAACGTTTGAAACGTTCAGAGCTTTCTATATCCATCACTCAAACACAATTTATTGCTTCAAAAGATCGACTCTTGAAGGGTAGTTGACACCAAATGCATAAATCAATACATCTAGATGATAAATAAACCAACTCATTGTTTATTGATGCCTTTAAGTTTATATATCGTTTGCAAACTTTTACGAGGCATACATCAGTAACACAATGCGAATGTTTCAATCGCAGGTCAAGGAAGGAAAATCTTGTGCGTGCTATTGAGCATGATTCATGTGGAAATGCATCAGCAGCTTATGAATGCTATCAAAAAGCTGTGGATATATCACCTGCAATTGCATATGAACTGATACAGGTAATAGAAGGCACTAAATAAGTGATTCAATGAACCACATTTGCAATTACCAAGATTCTATTAAATGAAGTTCCTTCCTATGAAAATATGACACTATTTAATATACACCCTAATTGGATTGTAAACCAAAGAACGATTAGGCTGCCCATTTTAATAAAAAAATAATTACAAATATTAGTTAATTAGTTAGGAACAACAGTTTTTTTTATCTTAACCATTTTCCTAGTCTGAATTTGTGCATATAAATGGTGCTAACCTCTATGTATAGAATGTTGATTTCATCAATCAACAATAATGAAGTGACCATGGACATAGACAAATTGCGAATCCACGTACATAGTGTGTTTGATGTTTTGTTTCATGCAAGATGCAGCTATACTTTAATGTGGGTGTGATTATTGATTCTAATATTCACTTGTTTATACTCTATACTAACTAGACGTATTCATCCTGAAGGTGTTGAAACAAGAAAATATTTCATACGTTGTGGCCCCTTATGAGGCTGATGCCCAAATGACATTCTTGGCCATCAGCAAGCATGTTGATGCTGTGATTACTGAAGACTCGGACTTAATACCATTTGGTTGCCCTAGAGTAAGATCGTAATTCGTTTAACAATTCTGTTTTGCTCCATAGCATTCTTACGTCGTCTGAGACACTTTCTTAAACTTTCCCACAAGTGTAGATCATCTACAAGATGGACAAATTCGGGCAAGGTGTTGAATTTCAGCATTCAAAACTACAACATAACAAAGACCTGAATTTGACAGGTTTTACCAAGCAAATGATTCTAGAAATGTGCATTCTCAGTGGTTGTGACTATTTGCAATCTTTGCCAGGAATGGGCTTGAAAAAAGCTAATGCACTAATAAAGAAATTTAAAAGCTATGACAAGGTGTATTTTATTGCCATTTTTAATATATTATTCTGATATACTTGAAAGTTCTTATTTTAGGCCTCTCTTAACTTTTCCCATTTGAAAAATTCTAAGCTTGCCAACTCATATTGCAGGTAATCAAGCACTTGAAGTTTAGTGGCATTGCTGTTCCGCTTCTCTACGAAGAATCTTTCAGGAAAGCAATAATGACTTTCCAGCATCAAAGAGTTTATGATCCACTCACGGAAGATATTGTTCATTTGTCGGATTTGTCTGACAATATTGATGAAGATCTAGATTTCTTAGGGCCATATCCTTGCATTGCTATTTTGGTATATTTTTACATAAGCATATAGACATCATGAGCACATCAAGGTTTTTGTCTGAAGCAACCCCATTAATGGTGCATAGTCTATGTTATTTAAATACTTGTGTGTTTGGTTGTGTTCTTAATTCTTGATCCTTGACTGAACGACACATTGATACCCCAAAATCTAGCCAAAGGCATAGCAAGTGGAGATATTGATCCTTTTACCAAATTGCCTATCCAGGTATCGTCTCCGCTTTATAATGATTACTGTCACTTTTAATGGAGATTTTGATTCTCGTCATACTGCAAGTTCATGACTGCATGTAATTAGAATGATTAACTAACTGTTTAATGTAGCTAGCAATTTACATTATACTCATTAGCCTTTTTTTTGGGTAAAGTATTGATTAGCATTTGAAACCAATGCACTTGACATTTCATTTTAAAACAACCAACATACTTGCAAATATGCAAAAGTACACTCCGATTAGCAAAATACTGTGACACGATACTTTGGATGGCAACTAGTGTTTTTTTTGCTATTTTTAGGAAGACCCTTGAAAACACACTTGAAGGATGAAACTTCTATTACCAACCAGTTGGTGCTCCCCTAGCGATTCATCAGGCAATACACAAATGTGTGATTTGAACTCAGGACCGCAAGGTTATCTTGAGCAAGTGTCAACCACTTGAGCATTTCAAGCATTATAATTAAGACTTCAGTTTAAACAACTAACATACTCAGAAATGGCAAAAAACTTTATTTAGGAGAAAACTTGGAACACAACATTTAGTTGTCAACTTGAGTGTTTTTTTTTTCGCTATTTTTAGCTAAGCATAGTGTTCGTTTTTGTATATTCTACCAACTTGTGTTCTTTTTTGCTTTTTTCAAGTGGGTTTGTTGTTCAAGAAACAAAGAGCCAGATATGAAAATTTGAAATGCTAATTACAATTACACATTTACTTCTAGGATATGTGCTTGAAGGTTCTTTCTTCTTTTGACAAACAGGGAGAGAGTGTTAAAGCAGAACCCCTGCTTGATGGAATTTACAATCTTAAAAGCTTCAAATCCGGAGACGCAAACAAGAGGCTGGACTTACCTGCACAGAAAAATCTCTTAACCAACTATTTCTGTATCCTAAAAAACACATGTTTGTGGCTTTTGACATGCTACTTGTTTGAAACAAAACCTTCAAATTGAAAATGTTGTAACCATTCTCCATTTTGTGGGTCCCATCTTGATTTCCTCTTGAAGAAACTAAACGGGACCCATTATTACGTATAAAGGAATCGATATAAGTACTTCTGTTTTTGAAGATCATCTTGGTTCTCTAGTTTCCTCTACATTTGATTCCATTCATTTTTGTCCATTTATCCTTGATGCTGAAAAGGTTTTGCATCTCTCGAAGCAAAGAGGAAGTTCAGGGCCCCTCGAGTTTCTCCAAAACACTCAACTCCGACAAATGCAACTCCTCAGATCGACATATGCGAAGAAATTGTGAGCGAAAATATCATTTCAGCAATACCCTTCTCTTACATATCCTTTATATCTAATATTATGAGATTAACTGATTCCTTTCTTTAGGTGGATACCATTGCTGCAAGAAAGACCTCGATGCTTTTGGAATTACCATCTCACGGTTAGAAAAAAAATTCTCTTGTTGAATAATCTCACATGCCCATTAACACACTAATCTTATGTTATACTTAATAAAGAGCCATGTGATTAAATTTCTTGCAGATGACAAGCGAAATGTAAAACATTCAAAGCATCCAATACACCCTTGTATAGCCTCACAACAAAAGGACTTGGAATCTAATTCTTCCTTCGATGCAATTGATGGCAAAACAAGGGTGCAGAAGAAAACTGTCGTGAGGAGCTGTTATTTTCAACACAAAAATGTGGAAGAAAATGATCTGGCAAACACGAAAACGAACCCGTCAGTTTGTGATGATGAGGTCACAGTGGTGAGACAGAATCCAACTTCTGATGGTGAACCCAAGTCTGGTTTGGGTTCAGCTGAGGTCAAAACGAGAGTAGAGAACAGGAAAACAAACGTGAGTCGTTATTTTAGTCATATCAATCAAGAAACCACAAATGAAAGACATGTAGAGACAAACAACTATGAAGGGTCAACAATGAAAAGGAAGTTTTCCAATTTCGAAGACGGTGCTGAAAAAGTAAGCACCTTTCTCTTCCGGTACAATGAAAACACAGAATTTACGTCGTTGATCAATTTGCCTACATTTTGCTTACTTATATATCCGGCTTTTCTAAATTTAAGCATATATGCTTTTCTATCTTTCACACACTTCTCACAGCTATGGGTCTACAGGTAAAACTGACATCTCCATACATCTTAACCTCTTCAAACCCCACCTCCTTTAGGCGGGTCATATAGGCTGCGTTTGGTAAATGGATGTTATCCTCTTCAGACCCCACCTCCTTTAGGCAGGTCATATAGGTTGCGTTTGGTGAATGAGACGGGACAGGACAGACGGGACAAAACTCATTGTCCCATGTTTGACGCAACATGGGACAGAACAAGAACCCATTGTCCCATGTTTGGTGCGACATGGGACAGGGACAAAAACTGAGACAATGTGGGACAACATGAGACAAAAGAGGTTTTTTCTTGTTCTACCAAAATAGGTGGAACAAGATGGGACAAAAATGAGACAGAAACTAAAATGTTATTAATCTACCCTAGTTTGATATATAACTTTAATATGGCATTTGTTTTAATGGTCATTACCTCTAGTTTCGGCTGCCGCTACCACCACCGACGGCCAATACCACCGTCACCTCCTCTTCCACTACAACAACATCCTCCACAACCACCGTCCACCAAGTCCATCGCCACCTTTACCATAGTCGACCATCGACCACCACCATCCATTGCCACCACCACTACCGTCATTTGCCACCTCCAACTCCTCCTCTACTACAACAATCTGCTTTACCACCATCCATTGCCACCTTTACAGCCACCATCAGCTACCGACCACCACAACACATTACCACCACCACCGTTGGCCACCTCGAAATCCTCCTATACCGCAACAACCTCCTCCACAACCACCGTTGGCCACCTCCAACTTCTCCTCTACTGCAACAACCTCCACACCATTGACCACCACCATTCATTGCAACCTCACCTCCACCATAACCACCACCACAACTATATTCACTACATCAACTACAACTACCTCCTCCACCGTTATCAACCGCCAGCACCACCACAATCCACCATCTTCATGTCCTCTATAACCACTGCCGTCCACCAACCACCACTGCCTCTACCTCCATAACCACCGCCCATTACCACTACTACCGTCGGCCACCACCACCACCTCCACCTCCACCAAAACCACCTCCACTGCCCACACTACTACCATCAATTATATCAAATTTTTCATTCAAATTTGGTACCATTATATATGTATGTATTCATTTATATGAAAATTGTGTACAAATATTTATAAATTAAATTCTTTAATTATTTACTTTATTTGTGTTAACTATACCTAATATATAACATTTAAAATCATCAAATAACTCTTGGAGGTAGCTTGCCTAGTTCTGTCCCGTCCAATCCTAGTCGTACCAAACACCAGACATACTCTTGTGTTGTCGAGTCCTGTCCAGTCCTACCCTCTTGTCCTGTTTAGTCATGTCCTATTCTGTCCAGTTCTGTCCAATCATGTCTGCGTACCAAATGCTACCATAATGTGCTTGTTTGGTTTGCTTTGGCAATTTGCCTACATTTACTCTCGTAGTTTTTATTTTACAATTCCATCCCGAATTATAGCAACACATGATCAATGAAGAAAGACCAATGGCAATAGTTGTAGTAATTTTCTTACAAAGTCGGGTTTGCGAAGTTGTACTCCAATCTACAATCGAACCATGATCATATCCAATATTGTGACTACTTCAAATGAATTAATTGACAAGTTTGGGACCAAAATGCTTATGATTTGTACTATTTGGGACTTTTTTTTCGAAATTTAAATGTATGTATTGAATATGATGTGGAGAAGTAGTTGGTTCGACTTCAAAGCCGAAGGCATACCTCTTTTTTGGTAGCATAGGCAGTCGTTTATTTTGGCCATGAGTTTCTAGCATTTCTAATAACCTGTACGCTTATCTGCACAGGAAAATATGAACCAAAAATACATGCGTGCAAGTCGATCTCCTGCTGATCAAGGTACAAACTTGCAACACCCAAGTGGTTTTTCCTTTTTTTTTTCCGTTTCTAATCTAATTTGTATGCGCTACGAACTAGCATAATATGAAACAAGAATCCCGATGACTGTAGATGTGGGTAAATAGTTATGGATTTGAGTTCCCAAAACTTTACTTAGCGGACAAAGAGGTGGGCATTCTTAGAGGCGGATCTAGAAAAAGCATAACGAGCGGGGCACAAAACAATTAACATGATATAAAATAAAATAAAAAATAATATAAAAAGTATGGTATAATTAGAAATGACATATATACGTGTTTTTATGCAACACCCAAATGGGTTTTTCGTTTTTTTTGCCAAACGGATTGGAACTTGGAACCTATAATACCACATGTAATGACACTATCAGTAGGCTGCAACCACTTTTTGTTAACTTAGTAGAGCACACATCAGATTAAAGCGGATGCCTTTAAGACCCATGATATTTTTCCCATTACGTAATGAGGATAGAGCGGAGGCACGGGCACCCCCTAGGCTATTACTATATCTTACCATAGGCATCCTTGCAGAATGAGTAGGACGTCTAGAGTCCATCTTTTCTTGGGACACGTGATTTATCTCCTTATGATGGTTGTGGGACCGATACAGTGGGGGTGTTTCGGATGTTGTCGGTCATGTCCTTTTTGCATAATCTTACGGATTCATGATTTCTTGCACTTGCTACGGATTCTAACATTGGTTTTAATCTCAGGTTTGTGCACTTCCGAGCTTGATCAAATGCAAGTAACAAAAGACAAAGAAGAGAAATTTGGATGTGATATCTCCCATTTGGGCAAATACTCCGACATAGCAGAGAAATCAATGGATAGATTCATTTCTGTTATATCGTCTTTCAGCTGCACTTCATCCGGTTCTCGTGCCAGTGGGTTACGAGCCCCTCTTAAGGACGTTCGAAACACATTTACCAAAAAATCATCGTGCATTAACGATATAACCAAATTTGCATACACGCCAAGACAAACAAAGCCGTTACCATCGCAAAGACCCTAATCTTTTGTATTCTTTAACGTTTGTTTTCATTGATATCGATGCCAACGGAATTGATTCCCCGGATTGGCATCTGCACGGTAGAGATACGTTCTCGAAACATTTTTTTGATTATGATCAAATATTATGGTGTTTTAGTTGTTGTATATGTCGATTTAGATTACAGGGGACTGTAAAAGCTATAAAATTAACTTCTGTAATTGGTTTTTGTGGAAGTTAATGTGTTTTAACCGGTGTTCTAAAAGGTTCTAAGTTGCAAACGCACTTGTCTTGAGTGTCATGTTAAGTCCATGACACGTGATGTGTGTTTTCTAAGGAGTTATTTGATTTTCTTTTACACTTTTAATGTCATAAAGACTAGTTTTTAATACATAATTTAATTTAATTTGATTTGTTCAATATCATTATATAAATATATAATTGTATATATGATATACATATTTGCTATCATAAGTCATGGTTGTCACGCCTTGAAAATGTCATGAACTCGTTATGGCTCCTAAACCTAGAGGTTTGACGTCATTACTCAGCCATGCCTCACGCTATTTAGAACTTTGTTTTTAGCTGTCTGTTTTCTACTGAATTTATAATGAATCATAGTGCATGTTTGATGTTCAGGGGTCGGCATACCTATGAAGTCCTGAGCTGGGCCCCGTGTACCCGAACTTATTTTCGCAAGTAAAATTTTTTTGGTTATGAAAGGTGCACATGTCAAACTTTGAGGAGTACTTCTGGATATTAGAAAATACAGTGAACAATAACCAAAAAACTGAAAAAATACCTCAAAGTTAATTAAAAAACTTAAAAAAACCTCTTGAAATGAACCAAAAAACTTTAAAAAATTCAATATGATAGCGTGAGTCGTGGTAATTAGAACCAAGGTTCTAGATAGCGTGAGTCGTGGCGGCGAGGTCAAGCGTTAAGCCTCGGAAGCCATGGCGAGGTTGCGGCGTTTTTAAGGCGGCAAATCCATATATAAAATTATATACATAAATATATGTTTTCTACTATCACTTAAAAAATCAGTGATACTAAGCAATTTATATTAAATTATATATTAAAAACTAACAAATAAGGCATTAAAAAGATATGTAAAATCAAACATCGTGTAACAAAAACCGTGCATTACGCCGTGGCATGCCTCCGGCATAATGTGGCGTGAAACACAATCTTTGAGTCACAACGTGCCATGGCGGCTATTGCAGCGAGCTTTTTTGAACACTGATTAGAACTGACAAATGAATTGAGAATATTGGTTCAGGGTTTTGACTCTATGTATTAGTTTTACGATTCGTAATAGAGTTTTGCACACTTTTGTTTATCGATGGACAAGGGGATCGTTGATTGAATATGGTTCGAGGGTTAAACATAAAAGGATTGGTCCAGTTCTTAGGTGTTGGGCCGGTCATATTTTTTACACCAAAAACTGATTAAAGAGTGATTACGAAAACAGTCGAATTGGGACCCGATGTCCAAATACGGACCAGTCAAAAATCGGTTTTTGAAGCTTTGAACGACCACAAATTTTCAAACTCGAATGGTTTGTTTTCAAGTGTTCTAAATTCGAGTATCGGTTAAGAATTTTTCTTGTGGTTTATCGTTTCTCAAGATAGATTTCGATAAAATTCCTCTAAAATAAATAATCAAAATTTGAAATCTCTAAAAAAGTTACATCTAATTTCAACAGTTTCTTCGTTTTGAAGGTTGCAACATTGATTATATTACTGATACAGTTAATAAAATATAAATTATATTTTCTAACATATGATTTCAAGTTTTTTTTATTGATAAGAATATAATTAAAACTTATTTTCTCTATCATGATAATCATTTTTAAGGAGCTCTTTAAATTTAAAACATGTATAGCAAAAATTTGTTCAAAACCTGTATTATTTTCTCCATTTTAAATAATCTGTTAGAGATGGTCTAAGGGGCTGTTTGGCAGTTGTTGAATGGTTTGGTGCTGATTGATTAAGAGACTCTCATGATATAGTGCAAAATGAAATATAATTGTTTGGAAATTATTTATAACAAAATTAGGGCGTTGAATGGTTAAGGGAGACCTATGATACAAAATCATTCGAAGAGTTTTAGAACTGTTAAGAGGCAGATTTATTTTTGTCAAACAAAATTCACCTCTTAGTTGAATTATTAAGAGGTAAACAAACAACACATAAATACTTATACCAAGTCTTTTACTTAAACTCTCTATTTTGCATACTTGTAATTGAATTAATTTTGTGTTTATAAGTTGTTTTACATTTATTTTTAAAATATAAAAAATCTATAACGATTATACATCTCTTTTATATCCTATTTGAATGCTAAACACACCCTTAAGACAATTACGACGATTTCTATAAAGACGATTTCTATTAAGACGATTTCTGTAAAGACGTATAACAAGACATATAATTATTAATCAATCATTTATCCCAAAAAAGAATTGCCACAAAGAGTACGAAAGAAGTGAAAACGAATTAAGCCATAACCACAAGATACATGTTATGTGGTTTGGACCACTTTCAATTAATATACAATATTCAGTTACTTAAAAAGTCACTGTAATAAAATCTGGTTTATATGATATTAAAAATATCTGCATTTATTAACAGATTAATTTATTAGACCAGATACTTATGTGTCATAATAATCCTTTTAGAACATTTTTGAAACAAAGAGTTCTATTAGTTTTTTTAATGGACATTATTTGAAAATGTGTCAGAATAAAACAAGTCTTCTGTAAAAATATGTGTTTTTAGGACACTTCTTAAAAAGTATCCTATAAATAAGCTAATACAACAGTTTGTTTCAAAAAAAGTTTGTTAAGACGTCCTATAAACTTATTACAATACTTTACATATGACACCAAAATTTTTGGTTCTATAAACTTATTGTAACACCCCAAAGCCCAAAACAATGGACTGATCCAGTAACTTCGAATACAACTTAAAACCATTGTTGAAGTTATTGGTAGTCCACTGTTTGGGACTTACAAGGAGTTAACAATTCTCACTATCTATCCATGTGGGACGAGTTGTTACAACTTCCTCACTTAAAATCCTGACATGGTGTGTCAAACCTTATCGGGTATGATGAGTCCTCGAGAGGGGGTGTTTATAACATCTTAGGCGAATCTCACATAACCGTTGACAAGAAGGGTGATTATGGGCAAGCCTGATGAGGACGTCAGGAGTTTAAGTGAGGGAGTTGTAACAACTCATCCCACATGGATAGAAAGTGAGAATTGTTAGCTCATTATAAGTCCCAAGTGAGTTACCAATAACTTTCACCATAATTTTAAGTTGGATTCGAAGTTATTAGGTCAATCCGTTGCTTTGGGCTTTGAGGGTATTACACTTGTAATTCTATAAAGTAGTTTATTAAGACACTTAAATACTTTTGACATCCTATGAACCTGATTTTATTGTAGTGAGTATTTTGAAAATAGATTATATAAGCTAAGAGCAAAAACAAAGTACGTTTTATTTTGGCACGATTTACTTCGTTTTTAATCCATTATAAATTTAGACGATATTAATAAAAGATAATTTAAGTAATAATACGTCATAATCTCAATCTCCTAACATAAAGTCATAATTAAATTATTCTAATTATACATTGTAAACCATTAAGACACACGTCTTAAATCATAATGTCAGCTAAAACTGTTTTATAACATCATATGCATCATTTACGTATGTAAACTAATGAGAAACGTAAACATACAAAAATACAAAAAAGAAGAAGAAGAGATATATGATTTTTTCGTATTACGTCATGGAAGATATCTGTTTCTTGGACCATACCGTATAGTGATATGACATATCAAAATCATAACTCTTTTTTTTGTTTTGTATCAGCAATATATATCTATACTATGTTATAAAACATTTGACAAAAACTCTTAAAAACCATGTTTTATGCATGAATTACTGTTTATTGGTGCATATTACTTAAAATTCAAGATTACAAGTAAATGGTGCGTAAGTACAACTTATTAAAGCTCCATGTTTGAATTCGTGTAACTAACTGCGGATAAATATAATCAAATAGAGGATAAACATTTCATTTTAAAATATAAAATATCTAAAATATAATTAGGATAAATTATCAACTTCTAACAAAATAATTAATTATTATCTTTATAAAAAAAGTTATATTATTAAACCAAATATAAATTACTTCGTTACTGAGCCTAAATTAAATTATAATTAAAAAATTACACAAAAAATAAGAAATTTTAGATAGTTAATTTGATACTAATATCGATACATTTTTGTCAATTTTTTATGATATTTTCAAATTTATATTTTATTAAAAAATAAAAACATTATCGCATTTTCAAAATCACATAACACCATATTATAATATCGACTGAGATAAAAAAATAAAACAAAATATTAAAATCAAGATGTATCTCGCTGTATTGTGTGAGTACCATTCTAATATATATATAGATATATATATATATATATTTCAATCAATATAACCAGTAATAGTTTTAAATATAAATAAAAATATGTAGTATATAAAGGAACTGAAAGAAATAATTAGTGGTATACAGTGAAACTTCAAATTAAACATCAATAATGACCGACTAGTGATATGTGACATGAATAAATTAGTTTTATTGTGTTCGTTATCAGTATTTTTCCTTTTGATAGTTTTGACTTGTATCTACATTTTGGATACAGTTTTTATCATAATGATTCGGTTTCGATAGTCTCGTATAGATTCAAGGAACAAAACAAATAAATATGTTTAGTTGTTCGTTGATCCAATCAATCAAACTCAAAGATGGTCCATTCACGAAGATAACAACGACCATAAATTATTTTATGTAAAGTTTAGATAAAACAATCAGTTAATTGTCAAACTGTACTGATCTTTTTCACTAACACATCTTATCATTTCTTTTTAAGACTTCAGATACCAAAAACTTGACAAATGCAAACGAGCCCATTATATCACATTCAAATGTGGGGTCTACTGTACGGATA